ATAATGCTAGAAGTTTGTGTCCGTAGAAACTAACCCGGGCCAGCCGTTCTACGTTCCTGAGGTAGGGCACGTGGACATACAACCCCAAAACACTAACGTAGTTCAGTTTCAAGGCGGTTCTTATGACGCGTGGGGACCGACAGCTCCCGGCTACGCTTCCTGTGGAGAAATGACTGGTGCAGAGTTCCAATCCGTCTTCTACCGCCAGCTATGGGCTTCTAATGCGAAATTGATGAATTTCTACATGGTATATGGGTGGGTGTTAGTCCCTGTTGGCATGTACCCTTCTCCGTTTCATCTGCATTGTAACAGGGGCACTTCTTGGGGTGGTCTCCCTTTTCCGGGGGTTTACAGTAAGCTCCAATATACAGATACGTGGGGGCTCACGTCGATCCCCCTCAACAGCATCTTACGACTATGGCGCAGCTATTGGAGAATCTCGCGAGATTACGACTAAATTCACAGAGCTCAAGGCCCAGGGCCTGTTTTTGAGGAGTTCACCGGAGTTTCTAAAGACTGAATGGGTGGGAAACAGCACGTCAGGCCCATGTCAAGTCACGAACCCCGCTGCCTTCGTAACTTTCTTGAAGAATCCAGACACTGGCACAGGTTTCTGGATTGCCCGCCAGACGAATTCATCATCCACGTATGGACACTATGCTCTGTCTCACGAAGCTAATAGATTAACACGATAGCGGGCAGGGCATTGACAGCCTTCAATTTGACGGTGACAACAAGCGTAGGGACCGTTACCATTCCACGGGCAGTACCTAACATCACACTCAACGGTCGACAATCCAAAGTGATCTTAACCGACTATCATTACGGCACCTCTAGCTTCATCCTTTGGTCTACCGCGCCAGTTTTTTTCGCCGGCCATATTGGTAACCGTGATGTATTGTACATCACCGCGGATAGCGGGGAACCTAGCGAGCTTGCTCTATCCCACTCAGGTGTGGTCGACTTCAAGTTCCCAGACGGGGTCCTTGAAGGCGGCCCTTTCGCTGTTGTCGACACGGAAACCTCCCTCGTGGTAGTTTCCACCTCGCTCACAGCGGGCACGTTTTTTGCTCCCGTGCTCGATGGGACTGGTCCACACGCCAGCTTCTGGCAGATAGGCACCAACTCCACCCTGCTAGTAGGTGGCCCGTACCTCGTGAGGAATGCCTCTCTCGGAGCAGATGGGACTCTCGCGTTATACGGTGATCTGAATGCAAGTGTCACGCTCCAAGTCATTGGACCCCCTCAGATGAAGGCGGTGACGTGGAATGGCAAGATTGTCGCGAGGAGCAATGCCGCAACTAGCGATCTCTCTCGCTTCTCGGGCACGTTTATAGGACACCTTACGTTCTCGAATCCGAAAATTACAGTGCCAGCCCTGACACAGTGGAAGTTCAGCGACAGCTTGCCGGAGATACAGGCGAGCTTCGATGACTCCAGCTGGATCGTAGCCAATCACACGACGACGAACGTCCCATTCAAGCCTTACTATGGCGATGGACGAGTTTTATATGGATGTGACTATGGATTGTACGCAGAATTTCACACTTAGGTCTGAACCCCTGCGCTGACAGCAGGAGAACTCAGCTGCGAAAATATCGTCCTTTGGCGTGGGCATTTCGATGCCACAGGTCACGAGAGATCGGTCAACCTTTCTATAAATGGTGGCGAAGGTATTTACCGTACTCAGGTTCGCGTTGTTCTATGATGGCTTACCCAACACGCGATAGCCTTTGCTGCTAGCGTCTGGTTGAACTCACATTTCCTGGGCACTTCATTCGGGAAGTACGAGCGCTCCGTCCTAGAGGCGGCATCCTGCTGACTCTTCGGTCATAGCTCGACGAATAATCTCCATATACTGGAAGAGACTGACGACGAATTCATCTTCCCGGTTAGCTCTCTAATACCTGGGGCAGACAACGTGATTACCACAGTCCAGGTGAGCGCCTATCGGTTTCCGGATTTACCCTCGAGTGACGTTATCCCGTAGGACAATATGGGCCTAAACCAGACGGATGGGAGTGAGTCCGCCTCATTGCTTCTGGTCCTCATCTGAACACGTGGAAAGGCATGACAGACGCTTCCAAGTCCCCACGAGGCGTGCGTGGCTTCAAGCTTAACAATGGCACGTTTGGTACATGGAAAGTCCAGGGGAAAATCGGTGGATATACAGAGTTCGCGGCCTTTTATGACTCCTAAAGAGCCTTGCTCACTTATTTTCCCACTGTCTGTCATAGTTTTCCCGACCGAGTCCGCGGCGTGCTGAACGAAGGCGGACTCTTTGGTGAACGCGCGGGATGGCACCTACCCGGGTTCGATACGAGTGACTGGGTGGCCCGGGACTTCTCGGCCGGCTTGCCTGACGGTAACGCAGGCGTCGGATTCTTTTCAACGGAATTTCCTCTGCATATACCTCCTGGCTTCGATGTGATGCTGTCGTTTACTTTCGACGAAAGTGCACAGCCATACCGTGCGCTCTTATTCGTTAATGGATGGATGATGGGTAAGCGCGTGGCGAATCTCGGGTATGGCACATCTCATCCTCGAGCTTGAGGAAGTGCGGGTATTGATCACGACGTTCATTCGTATAGCCCTCAATCCAAGTTCCCCGTACATCAGGGTATCCTGGACTACAATGGAACCAAGTCCGTGCCTCTTTTTGTGAATGAATTCAAAAGTCGATGCTGACCCTCGGTATAGTACCGTCGCGATCGCTCTCTGGGCAATGAAAGCTGTTCCAATCACACCTACTCTTTCCCTGACGGTCGACACTATACTGCAGGGAGGTGTTGGTCCTATCATTTCCAACAACCCCCTTTGGAGCCCGAAGGGAAGAGGTTGAGAGATCTGTGCTAAACCGGACTTCCGAATGTCGTATGTATGTTGTAGTACTATCGACGATTCACAAACGTCTATGAAATCAACACGGCAATCCTATCACTTCTTTGTGTTCCTCTTCTCTACGCTCCTTTCGCTACGCACCCGGCTCTTTTTTCGACGAGCGGGAGCACCTACACCCTTGTGTTCCGTCGTGTTTTTGCGCACGCGCACGCGGTCCTTCCCCTGCTCTGGCACTTGCAGGGCGTTGCGCGCTTTCTTCTTGGCGAGGCGCCGTGCAACTCGTTCAGGGTCAACCGCCTTGGCAGCCTTGCGCTCGGCCTTGGACAAATGGGCCAGCTGCTTGCCGAGGTTCGGGTTACCCTTCGGCACAGCCGTGGGTGTGGGTCTTGATGATTGTGGATGAGTACCGCGAGAGGGAAGAGTTGTGGAGGTAGTAGTGGCGGTGGTAACACCGGAGGACGGCCGGCCGAGAACGCCAGGCAAGGTTTTACAGCGTTCGACGCGCAACTTGCGTTTCGCGAACTTGAGCTTGCCGGGCTCGAGGGCAAGTATCTCATCAACGCACTCGCGGTCCTGTCCAAGCCGATTCAGTCCAGGTTAATGTCAATTGCGAGGGCGCGTGAAAAGTTAGATTACGTACCGCAAACTGAACATATGCGATGCCCTTGCCCAGTAGCGTGTCCTTGTCTCGGACGATCCGTACACGCGTCACCCATGTCTTTGGTTTCGCTTCGGCACTTGCCTCGTCATCGGAGCCCGAGTCAGCGGCAGCACTGGGTGGCCCGCGCTCCGCGCTAACAACGCCCTCGAAGAACGTTCGTAGATCTTCCTCGTGACTCGCGAAATCCAGACTCCCGACGAACACCGTGCATTTCGGATCTCCTACGCCATCTCCTAGAGTATCCGCGCGCAGTGTGTGGCCCATGAACGGCGAATTATCGAGTACGACAATCGCGGTCCTCGCAGCCTCGTCGGGGGCAAGCTCCCCGCCATACGCAAAGAGAACATAAGCCGCGACGGTGTCCGCTTCCTCATGTAGCTCGTGCCTGATGAACGCTATCTTCTTTTTGTCGTGGGAGGTAAGCCGTGGCGGCGGGGCGGGTACGTCGTCGCCCTTGGACGCACGCCATTCTGCGGTGCGTTCGAGGCTGTGCGTGCGCGGCGCCGGCGCAGCGGATGTTGGTTTTTGGAACGCGACGGAACGGAAGCGCATAGACTCTATCATGGACCCCGGGACATGCGATAGTATATGCCGCCTGAATTGCTTCTGAGCGGACTGCCAGGTTATGTGAGACCGACGTGCGTGAGATCGGGGAAGAGGAAGAAGTTTGGACACACCTTGCTCTTCGCAACATCAACAGGTACATTGCCAATGAATATTGTGCGTGCGTCGCGCTGCTCTTTCGTCTCGTTTGGGGGACTGTCGTGGTGTATACGTCTCCGAGTTGGTCGTGTCTTCGCATGTCGGTCCCCCTTCGCAACTGTCTCGTGGACGAGCTGCGATGCGTCCACCTCGCTATCAGAAGTGTCCTCCGGCCCCTCCTTGTTCTTCGAGGTGCTCGGCACACCTTCCTTTGCAAGGTGGCGGTTTCGACGCTCATAAGCCTCTTCTAATCCACCATCGGCCTCTTCCTCATCACTTCCCTCCGGAACATCTTTGGCTTTACTCTTCGACGTCGAAGCCTCGTTGATCTGCCTTTTTCTCTTGATCTTTTTCGAGTCATTTGCTACAGGTCCAGCGTTTTCTGGTTTTGACGTGAGGAGGGATTGGTCGATGGCTTTCGCAGATTTCTTACGCTTGGCTGGACCAGGTAATAAGCCGTTTCCTGTATCCCTCCCTCTCTTAATCACCGCGTTCTGAGGAATGGAAGTAGTAGTAAGACTCGTCGGAAGAGCTGATACCTGCGCGCAAATTCACAACTGAGAGAGCCAGGGTTTTAAGGAGACGCACCGAGGAACGAAAAAGAGAATCAAGATCCCCATCGATACCCCCCACTCCTTTCGATTGATGCTTTCCAAGCAAGAAAGTAGATAGACTCATCTTTGCACCTGCACACTGTGACCGAGCAACATTGATTTGATTTCGAGGTTCACCGGGCCGCAAATGCATGAATATTCCATGTTAGTCATACAATTGACCTGGGATGACCTCACCCCATGGGCGTTTGGCACAGTGGTAGCGCGCACGCTTTGCATGCGTGAGGTCGAGGGTTCAAACCCCCCAACGTCCAATACTTTTTTCTTGCCTCCATCCCTAGCGAATTCTTCGCTCACAACTGATTGAATCAACCACTCAAATCTGCGTGTTACATACAGCCTTGGTTACAGCGGTTTCCGAATCGACAGGCTTGTTCATTCGAGTACAGTCAGTAGTTACGGTTTGAATCCCACAGAAAATAAATGTTGTGAATACAAATAACTACTCTATAACCCTATTTTTGCGACACAACTAAATTTTAAAATATTTCTCCTCACACTTAATTATGAACCTCGTTGGTAAAGTTTGTTGCCGTGTGTAGTTGAAGCGATATGGAAACCGCTATATGTGTACGTGGAACTAGCCGGACGATACAACTATCGAACCATTCCTGTGCTGCACTTCTCTGCCTCGGACTCCTGACGTGGTGGCTTGAGTACCGGATCTATTGAGAAAATGCGACATCGGTGCAGCATTTTACCTATCATCCGACGAAGAGTCCCCCGACGAATAAAATTCCGGCGAAATGGCCAAGTAAGGCAGATGGAGATGGCGTGTTCCCACTGGCGGCAATGTCCTATCGGATGTGATCCCGTAGAGCGTAGGCGAGCCGAGTCTCGCAGTATTCTGAGGGCTCTCTGGTCGTCCATGAGTCGTTTTACACTTTTACACTAGATTTTCCCGATATCAAATCATGTGGTGCAAACTCTCGTCGGGTTTCACCGATTTCTTCCTCATATAAGAGTTGCCCATGCTCTCAATTCCACCAACCTCGCTAGCGTTCTTGCCCTGCTTCCCGGTTCGAGTTCTTCACGACTCGGATGCCGCTCCCACTCCCAGCATGGTATAGGTCTGTTCCGCGTGGCCCTCGGCTATGTGCTCGTATTGATCCTCCTCCAATGAACTACCAGATCCCCCATGACTCAGGTTGTCCTAGTCGGTCTGTATCTATATGTCATTCCGTCTCCTGTCCGGCGCTTACCAGGCTTTACCTAGGGATTACCTGTTTCGCGACCGTCGGCATGCTCTGCGCCGTTTCTAACATCGGCGGCGGCGGCCTCCCAGACACCGCCCTCGTGGACACTGCAAACGGTGTCCTCTATGGGATGTTCGCTCTCACCGGTCTTGTTTCGGGAGGAATAAACAACCGTGAGTTCTATTAATCCGATGTTTCGTGCTATCCTCATGGTGCACTAGTTCTTGGTCCCCGCCTTACACTCTCCACTGGGTCTCTTGGTTACTCGCTCTACATCGGATCCTTGTGGTGGTGTGCTTCTTTAATCTCGCATAACCCGCTCTGGATCCACGCTTAGTGGGTGTATGCGCCTAGTTTCCAGACACAGGGAACGCGTTGGTTCGTCATTTTTGCTGGTGGGGTGCTCGGCGTGTCCGCTGCCCTGCTGTGGTCCGCCCAGGGTGCAATAATGATGAGCTATCCGCTCGAAAAGGACAAGGGCAAGGCGTTCGGTGTCTTTTGGGCCATCTTCCAGTTTGGCTCGTTCATCGGTTCTGTCATCGCTCTGGCCATCAACATCCGCTCCGGACAGCTCAGCGACGTGTCAACCACGACGTACCTGGTGCGTTTCTTTTATTCGCGCGTCCTCAAGCTCCTTATTTCACAGCTTAGGCATTCATAATCATCATGATTATTGGCACGGCATCGACCATGCTCGTCCTACCTCCTGGTGCCATTATACGCGCCGATGGCACCCGAGTGAAGGTCCAGGCTTCTTCGACCCTTCGCGGGGAGCTCAGTAACTTTATCAAAGTGCTTAAGGACAAGCGCATCATCTTGTTGATACCCATGTTCTTCGCGAGCAACTACTTTTACGCATACCAAGGTGCAATCAACGTGTATTACTTTGACGGGCCGACTCGTAGGTCATACATACGCACCTTTCTTTTATTCTAACTATGAGTATTTTGTAGGTGCATTAAATGGCACGCTCGAAGGTGCCGGCGCCATGATTGGTGCTTTGATTATCGGCTTCTTCGTCCTCGACGGCCTCCCCTTCAGACGGCGGACGCGTGGCTTGGTCGGCTTGGCGATCGTGTCAACTATCAACATCGTAGTCTGGTCCTGTGCGCTCGCGTGGCAGGTCAAGTTTGGCCGCACGCCACGGACAAAGTTGCACTACACCGACAGCCGGTACCACGCCAAGGGCGCACTCTACTTTTTCTGTGCGTTTCCCGACCCTTACTTGCTACGAGAATATGATTGCTGACGAGAGACGGGTACGCTAGTCTTTTTCGATGGCGCATGCTACCAGGCGCTCGCGTACTGGATCATGGGCGCTATCTCGAACGACCCGTTCACGCTCGCGCGTTTCGCAGGCTTCTACAAAGCGATCCAGTCTGTAGGCAGCGCGGGCTCCTTCGGGATGGACGCGACGTCGACGCCGTTCCTGAACGAGCTCCTGGCGAGCTGGTGCTTGGTGCTCGTCTCATTCCCGTTCGCGGGGATCGCCATCTGGGGCATCAAAGACACGTCATACACGGAAGAGAAGACGGTGTACGTTAGCGATGTCGCGGCGCAGAGCGGGGCCGCGGAGAGCGCGGAGAACGACAACGTGAAGGAGAAGGGCGGGCAATCAGGGAAAACCTACTTCGATAATTTGTAGCGATAACCTCCCGAATCGCTGTTATCGTGAATTATCTCCCTTACTCCGGTTATTAATAAATGATGCCTCGCTAACACAGGAGGTTTTTCCTGATGTGGGTCTGATTGGCAAGTGTATACACGGCAACACGCCGGAGTCGCGCCTAGAAGGTGCCCGAGAAGTGTGCACAAGCCGCGAGTAACCCTGGACCTGGGCAGACAGAAACCCACGGAAACAACGAGGAGGCCGTTCGAACACTGCCATGGCTCAGGCTCCCGCTCCTCTGCGGGGATGCAGGAACGAGCAGGCGTGCCCATCAGGTACACGCGAGATTCGCGCACTGCCCAAGGAAATATCAAAAATAGACTGGGTTGGGTCTTCGGAACCCTTCCCCATCCATTATACTGCCCTTCGAATGATTACCGGCTATCAGACGCAGCCGATTGAGGTGCCCTGTGCGCGTACTGTATCAATTTCCAGAGCCAAGAAACACGTATATGAGATGCGCGTGTGCGACAGCATACTTTCTGCCCGAGAACACGTGTGAGCCGGAAGTGGTACAGGGTGCACGTACCAATATGTCTAATAAGCGGTTAGATATACTTGAACCATCGAGAGTAATTTCCAATCTAGCCAGAGTAACCTGAACACCCATACCGAGACAACGGACTGTGGTAAGGCTAAGCAATCCCCAACTATACAGAGTCGATCCTCGAACTCGGTAGCTTACCCTCTGTACATTGTGATACCGACATGCTCACCAAGATGAGCATTTTTTCAACCCTAAGTTGGTGTAAGGTGCTCGACTCGGGATCGAATATCTAGTACATCAGCGATGTAGAACATCTATGACGACTCGAACATCACAAGAAGTAGTAAGGTATGGGTGATGCAAGGCAGTGCTTTGTTAATCTTTCCATCGAGGTGATGCAGGAACTGAATTGGATGAGGCGCGATCGACCACGAGACAACGCGCATTGCTAATTGAAACCGCTTACTGTAAGGAGTGTGACGGGACTTGCTACGGGAGAGCTTACATTCGAGTCGTTTGGCTTAGTCAGACGTCGGTGTACAAGTTGCTGTACTACCTGGGTCAAACGATGCCTTGTAAAGACATTTCGGGCCAAACCCCGCCACCTCAGCCCACACGCCACAACTTCACGCAACTTTGGTTGCTTCCCCTCTTCCTGGGTTCGTCCTCGAGAAGCACCTTGATCGAGATCCACTGGGTATCGGCTGTGTTCGGCGCTACAGGGTTCGTCGAGTGCTTGGGTCATTCGTGGTGCTCACTAGCAGATGTATCACGCGAGACGATTATATGATGGGGAAATTTGGCCACACGACTCGGCTTGCGACTCGGAGTACGCCGCGTGAGGGTGGACTCATCGGGCTTTGGGTCTACATTCGCGGCTTTGGCACCACGAGAGTTGAACGTCAAATGCGCCCGGATGCTTCGAGATATTGAAAATGTGGGGGGTGGCTTGCAGAGGACAACGCCCAGTATGGTTCACAGAGGACAATAATATTAAAACCAACAAAGTAACATGTTACCACGATCCGATGATCAAATCCTGTTGTCTCTCTTCAAGGCTTCTCTGCAGAGGGTATGCGGACAAGGGCATTACTCGATCAACTGCGTCATGATGCAGCCATACGCCTGTTCATGAAAACGCACTGACGTACAAAAAGTTCCCTATTCCGGGACTTGTGATGTTATTGTGAGTTAGTGCCGTGCCCCCGGGCTCGGACATACATACACATGGATCATACGCACAGGCGCCTGATACGATCACTTACTCTATTTGTGGTGTCGCTCCAGCGTGTACATGCCACGAGACACCTATAAGAATCGTGCGACGGCACTTACGACTACGGTTTCCCCCATCCATGTCAGTGTATGACCCCTACAGCGGTCGGTATAGGACCCCCTCCACTTGGTCCTACTCCTACGCCCCCTCCAGTCCCCCACTCAGTACCTATGCGGAGAGTTACTACTCCACTCGAGAACTCCCAACGGGCCAAGTCTCGGAGAGGATGTACTTCAATCTCAATGGCAAGCTAGTCAGGTCCTACAAAATCCGAAGTTACAGGGTCTGTCCTTTCGTGTTTGCCACCGGTGTCACCATGTTGACGTTGTAGTACGAATTCAGAGAGCACAGAGACACGTCCTGAACCTGTATCCAGACATGCTGCAGGGTATCGCATCCTCCCGCATTCAATTCTACGTGATGCGTCCCGGGTATTATCGAGGACAGTACATCAGCTTCAAATCTTATATCGCAAAGCACGCCTGGCCAGTGGAAATAGACAGCTTGGCAGAGCACGACACAGTGGGGATTGACGTTAGAGACAGTGTTTCAGTGACAGAGTCCGTATCTAGTTTCTTTAATCGCACACGGTTCTTCTAAGTTAGTTTTTTTTTTGGTCTCCCCTT